ATTTAAGTATTACTTTCAGCAGAAGAGTTTCACCTGTTTATTTAAATGTTACAGACAACCCTACAGTGTTATAGTTAACACAGCTTTGTTGTTTGCCTGTGTGAGGGGAAACTCTGGTCCCTCAGCATTTTAAATCTAAGAAAAATATAGTTGGTTTCCTCTATAAAATCTTCTGGGGGAAAGCTCTTCAAAATAATCTGTCTTGAAAACAATCATTCATGATGGTCTAGGGCCAAAATTTCAAAAATATTTCAGCATCCAACATCTCACAAGTAGGCAACTTTGTAGGCCTAGAAAGCCCTAGAAATTTCCTATTCCTAACAGCAAATTCTGTTACAGTGCTAAGTATTTCTTATGAAAGTCAAGTCACAATATTCAGGTGCTTTTATGAGAACAGAAGTCCTTTAAAACTCAAGCCCTGAAAGCATATGCACCCATCTTTGAAAATCTGCACACTTCTTAAATATTACAAACCAATACCAATTTCCTGCCAGAAAGAACGGATGTGGGAATTCACAGCAACAAAGATATTTTAAAAGTATTTCACTAATTTCGTAATTGTAATAAAAGAGAAAAAATGAAAGGCAGGATGAGAGGAATCCCTTCACTAAGCATTTTCCAAATTCTGATTCTTTCATTACTGCTATTTTTACTGTAAATAGGGTATAATCAGTGTCTTGCAACTATCAATTGCATCAAATGTCTTCTTTCTCCTTTGCTAGTTTCACTAAAAGCAATTTTCAAATATGAAATGACCAGAATGATAAAGGTAACCTTTACTTCAATTAATTTTTCTGTTTTGCAAGATGTTCTCAGCACATCAGAAAGCAATGATAGAAACAGTATTTGGCAGAAACATAGGTCCAAGTCCAAAAAAGCACTTAAACTTCTGCTTAGCCAATATTCTAGACTAAGTCAGTAAGCCTCATTCAAAGCCTGAAGAAATCAGTAAAAGATATACTGACATCATGATTTATGTTTGCGCTTCCATACAAACTTGAGCCCAAATTCTCAGATGCATAATCCGGTGACACTGAAGAGCCACACAGAAATCGACGGCTTTGAAAAAGTATCCAGCAGTTGACAGACGAGAAGGAGCTCCTTTCACAATTGCCTCTTCATGCTGACCAGGTGTGTGCAAATCCATTTTTTGTGGAAAGTCAAGCAAGTCAGCTCAATAACTGTGCTTTTCAAATTCAACTATCAGGCAGTACGTTCCTTTAACGCATGCTGGATTAATATGTACATCCTCAGTCCTTATTAACTCCTCTAGCAAGACTGCAGAATCACGGAGGGGGCTAAGAGCGCTTTACAGGGCAACCTGGGGTTCATGTTTGATACAAAGCCAGCACCCACTCCCTCCCCATCAGACAGGAAGCTGTCTGGATTACAGACCTGGTCCACTAAGAAAAGTCCCCTTCAGCTGATCTAACTCAGGAAGAATCATTCCAATTTGGCTTTCATGATAAATGTTTCATTTTAAAACGGTTGAAGGGCCACCTCCAGTGAAGCAATCTTTCCAAAGCATAAGATGCTGATGTTATTAAATAATGAATAAGCAGCCTGAGGTACAATTTTCTTGAAAATTCCAAATTAAAAAGGCAGATCTGACTTCTATTTATTCAGATAATGCTGTATTTCCCAAGAACACTCTGTGATTACTTTAGTCAAAAGGCAGGCCATACCAGGGTGTAAACGAATACACGTCTGGCTCATTCTTTTATGCTTCATGAAGTATGAGGCCAGATGCCTGTGTACTATTGCACCTCCTTTTTTTCTTTTTTCCCCTGAAGAGCTTGTTTTGTTTCTGCTGTTTTTCTCTTTATAGCAGACAAACAGCAATGTGATTTTGTACAAGGCTGATAATCATTAATCTTGTAATCCAGGAATAAAACCCACAGAATCTAAAGACTTAAAACCAACCCCTCTCACTTTTTCTTCTTCCAGAAAAATTGACTATCATTATGGTTTAAAAAACATCCCAAACCGATCCATACAGACAATTCACCAATTGTCAAAATGTCAGATTCACAGAATATGAATAATAATTCTGATATATTGACACAATTACCTAAAATTAACACTTACCTACAGTTACTCATCAGTTAATTGCTATGAAATATGATAAGGATTTTATAGATATTAATCACATGATATAAATAATTGGGGATACATGAGTAGAAGGTATGTTGAAAAGTCTAAGCCACCCGCTTTAAACACTGTATTTACCTACAGGGGTCTTAATCAATTTATAACTTGAGTCACTATTACACAGAACTCTTAATCACAGATTAAGCTTCCATAAAGCCTAGCTGAAATAAAGGGAGACCAGTGCTGTAGCTTATGTTATTTGCCATATACCAAAGAATGCAACAGTTGCTTCCTGAATATATACAGGTCAAATTAAATACTAAGGAATCAAGGAGGTCTATGATCCAAATTTTCAGGCAGGCTTCTAACTTTTTCCATGTGAATAAACATTTGTACAACACTTTTATGACCACTAACATACATATACTGATGTTTGTTAGATACTATTTTAGAGAAAAACATATGCATATATGTGTCATATAGGGGAGTTATACATATATATCTGTGTACACACACACCCCCCACATAAATACTCATCTCAGTTCCCAATACAGACGAAGAAGGAGGATAGCATGGTATGCACAGACAGTAGGAAAGGCCTTAACAATTTTCTGGGGCTTAAACACATTTAGCAGAAATTGATGCGCTTTGAATTTCTATTGGCTTAGATCTATGAATTTTTTTTTTTTTATTCTGTAGCAGCTGTTCTCCATCATTAAGTATATATATAAACTTGTAGCTAGATAAAGCATCACACATTATTTATTGGTATTAATTATCTTATTGCCATGCACTTCAGGATTACAATGTCTAGCTGGAAAAGACAAGGAGGGTTACAGAATGGCGTTATAACATTAGACAGCAAGGCTCAAAATTAACAGGCAATAATCACAACTGTGTATTACACAATTCTAAGATCAAATCAGGAGAGATAACTCAAAATTAACAGGCAATAATCACAACTGTGTATTACACAATTCTAAGATCAAATCAGGAGAGATAAAAGTCGTCACAGCAGTGTGAAATTTGGTGTGACATAAACTCGGGAATGACCAGATCTTACAAAACAATGTTATTTGCCTCTCCTTTTGAGCCATGCAGGTGGAAAGGTCATGAAGACAGAGGGTATAAAAACAGACAAATTAGACTAAGTGGCAACATGAAACATCTGGGATCAAGTGAATAAAAGACAGAATCACATACCCATTTTTCCACATCAACTAGCTGTAGAAAGAAAAAGCAAGAAATCAGTAAATCTCTTTCTTCTAATAGAGCATTTCAGAGTATATTTTGAAGTTAATGTTTCATATTTTAGGAAATCTATTGTACAGGAACGAGAAGAAGCCATTCTCTCCTGGCATCTCCTCTTTCAAAAGCCAATAGCTCACTTTTTCTCACTTTATGAGAAGCACTTCAAATTCTGAAAGACGTCTATCTAAATATCAACATAAATAAACAACAAGTGAAGACTAATGCTGAATTAATTCCACATTCTGTACCAATCTGTCAAAAAGTACAGCACACAACTGCACACAAAACATTTCTCTGTTCTCTCTGGCATAAAGCTCTGTTACAAGTGAATGTTTTTCACCTGAAAAGTTTTAGTGGCTGCTGTTCAAGGTTTGTCCTTTTACTGAATGCTAAAAGCCTGAAATCTAAAATGAGAGGGTAGCTGCCAAACCCAGACTTCACTACCTGCAGCATGAGCACGTACCTTGCATAAGAACAGAGGAGAACAGAACTCCAAAACCTAATTCTCTTTCCTTAGGGGAATGATAACGAACCAGCCATAAGCTTAAGGTTTTATATTAGCAACACGGTTTCAAGGTTCATTAGGGAAACTGAGTTTGAATTACTCTCTCTAAAAAGTCTTTGGACAATCCTATGCTCTCAGGAAGGATAAAAAGCATCAACTAGAACACGTTTCAGTTATTTTAAAAGCTAGTGTGGCACCAGCTATGAAAAAGTTATTTGGCACCAATGCTACTCCATCTGACATGGATTCATCTTTAACCTCAGCACCAGAAACACTGCATCTTATCAAGCCTTCTGTGTTTTTTCCTACAGGTACACACTGATGTTTTATTAGCAGATGCCAAATAAAAGCTTAGTAATAATTTCAGATGATAGTGCAGTGCAAACCATAAGCAATTTTCAAAAAGAGTAGTGTTTGGATTCCAGCTTACTTGTGAAATTCTCACAATAAAAGGCCACGTTCAAAGACTTAGGTTTCATCTATCGTTTTATTCAAACTAAATTTTCTCGTTTATTCTTATGTATTCATTTCTATTAAAACGACTTTTGTGTTTTCAATATTGCTACATCTACATTGCTGCTAGTCCATAAAGGTTAGAAAATACCATCTGACGTGTCCCCTATAATCTTATAAGCATTTGTTTTTGCTTATAAGAATATAAACTTATAAGCATTTGTTTAACTTGACAAGATTCCTACCTGCCTTCAGAGATTTGGACTACATTCAGATTTATCAGAGAAATTCTGTGATTTGGCTCTCATTTTCCTTATAAACTTCACTGTGAGTTTTGTCACCAACTGCTGCTAGAGAAATCCTTTCTACCAAAGCCCCTAGTGCTTTAAAATAAATGCAATATAAGAATGAAAAGATGTAAAAAGATGGAAATATATTAGAAAAGCAGGTAATGGTTTGAAGTCAACAATATGACGACTTAAAAAAAGAAGGAAGAAATAGCCAAGTTTGAATCATGTGCAAGTCTTTCATTTCTTAGCTTGATTTTGATAACCTTTTGTTTTGCTAAAATTGTTTATGTATTAATAATGCAGTGCAAGTCAACTGTGTATCGATGCTAAAAAGAGCTCATTTAATCCATTCTTTGTTGTCTCGCTTTGAGAAGCTCTCTTCCTCTCCCAAAATTCAAAAAAATTCAAGTGACTCAGGCAGCCAGAACTGATTTTGGAAAAAAATCCCCTCAATGTACATCATCACATAATCAATTGACTTGCAATTGCTGAATTGTCTATCAAGTTTAATTTATTTTAATGGACAGTAGCTAGTTTCATGAGTCAAAGGCAGCATTAACCAAGTTTTTTACAAACTGAACACACTAAATCTATGTTTATATAATCATTAAATAACAGGCTTTTGCATGCGCCACAGGCACTTTTATTCACTAGTCTATGGGGGCAATCACTCTTAATTGTGCATCTAAAGTTGTCAGATCCTGCAGTCACGATGATCGTACAGGAAAGATTACAAATACATCTGAAAAGATCTACTTCTCAAAGCACACAATTTTTCATTTAATATAAAGCACACTGTAATAAATTGCTGTATTTTTAACTACAGCCACTTCCTATAGCCCTTCTGTTATGTGCCCCTTCAGTATCTTCCTGTATCAGGCGCGGATCCCTTTCATCTAGCCACCTGTGAGCTAGAGCAGAGCAGCTTTTCCAGGCAACTGTAGTCATGAGAAGACATTTCCTCCCTTCAGGCCACATTCTCCCAAGTTCTAAAACTTGCCTGTGGAGATAAGCTGGGGTTAGCTTTTACTCCCATTAGATATTTAGTATCCCATTTGGGGAGGCAAAAAGCCATAAGCATGACTTCATAAGATATTTACTTGCCCTGAAATCCCTGTTAATATAGATATGGTTAATTTAAAAGCAAATAAAAGAACTCAGAGGCAATTAGATTAAATGCAGATTAAATAGCTGTAAAGTTCACGTGAACAGACATGAAAAGAAGCAATGGATATGCCTACCTAATGATTATATTAGATCTAACCAGATATTCAGATAACATGCAAGTGATTCTCACTGATAAGGCAGACCAAAGATGGAGTTAACAGACTAAAATCGATGGGGACCTCTTCTCCCAGTACACATCCTCATTTGGGAAACACTATTATTCAAAGCTCCTTTTCTCGTTGATGCATTAATCGTTAATCCATGCAAAAAAAAGACATCTAACCTTGCCTTCAACCAAATCACATTTTGTCACCTCTGTCTCTGGAGAGGCTAATAGCCTTTGGAGTTGGACCTGTTCCCACTGTAAATGACTCCACTTTGGCTTTGCTGAGTTGCTAACTTACTATGAGGCACAGATCTTCCAACTAGTCTAAGAAGGCTGAAATTTCAAAAAAGGTTGGGGGAACGCAAGGGGGTGACAGCCACTTCCTGAACTTCCCTCTCACTGAGGTATCTTACACAATAAGAAATTTTCTCTCAATCGCAATTATGTTAACCATGGTCTGAAGGAATGATACAATCATTTATTTTAAAAAACACGGTAATTTCTGCCTAGTGACAATATATCCAAATCTTCGGAATTCAGTAACTGCCCTTCTGAATCATCGTCTTTCCTGATCTCTAAGATCATACTGTTTGAAATAAGAAAATGCTAAGATAAGTTTAGGCTATTTTTTCTCTTTATCTTTATACCAAAAGACTATTTTTACAATAAATCCTCCAGTAAAAGAAGCAGAGTCCATCTTAAAACACACACAGCTCAAATGCAGCATGCTACTTAGAAACATTTCTTCTGCAATGTATCTGAGTACTCAAAGGACTTTCCCAAAAGAAAAGAAAATGACACTTGCTAAGATTATATATTAAAATTTAGTGGATTTATTGGCATTTCACAGTTCTGAATACAGGAAATTACTATCTTGCCATGAGAACATCAGAGTTATGAAAAGACTGAAGAATATAGCTAGTGGTGTCCCCCAAGGGTCAGTCCTGGGTCCAGTCTTGTTCAATATACTCATCAATCACCTGGAGGAAGGCACAGAGTGCACCGTTTGCTGTTGATACTAAACTGGGAGGAGTGGCTGACACACCAGAAGACTGTGCTGCCATTCAGAGGGACCTGGACAGGCTGGAGAGCTGGGCGGAGAGGAACCTCACGAAGTTCCACAAAGGCAAGTGCAGGGTCCTGCACCTAGGCAGGAATAATCCCACGCACCAGTACAGGCTGGGGGTTGACCTGCTGGAAAACAGCTCTGCCGAGAAGGACCTGGGAGTCCTGGTGGACAACAAGTTACGCGTGAGCCAGCAGTGTGCCCTTGTGGCCAAGAAGGCCAATGGGATCCTGGGCTGCGTTAGGCAGAGTGTTGCCAGCAGGTCGAGGGAGGTGATCC